TTGTCGATTCAGCCTGTATACTGCTATCTTCAGCTAACCCTAAAAAGTCTTAAAGTAATCACAAATATTTACATAAAAATGTTAGGTCAAGGTATAGTCTATGAGATGGGAAGAAATGGGCTAGTTTCTAATTAAAGAACACTCCACCTATAATAACCCCTATGAAACTAAAGGTAAAAGGAGGATTTAGTAGTAAATTAGGAACAGAGAGCTCAGTTGAATGAACATGAACACACCACCTATCAGTCTCCTGAAATACTTTAACAAACCCAAATTTATAATTAACACAAATTAATGTATAAAAGAAGGTAAGTCACGACAAAATAATCATACTGGAAAGTGTGCTTAGGTAAACCAAAATGTATCTGAATTCAAAACACCTGGCTTACACCCAGAAGATTTCGTATTAATCTGACCACTTTGAACCAAAACTAACAAAACTCAACAATTACATATATTTAAATGAAAACCTTCATTCATAAAAAGTATAGAAGATAGAAATTCAATTAGGTACTATAGAAATAATACTGTAAGGGAACAATGCCAAGAATAATTTTTTAAAGTATAAAAAAAGAAAAGCCACGAGATAGTGATGCTTTGTAGTTTTCATTTACATTTCCCTAATGATTAATGACGTTTGAGTATATTTTCATGTACTTATTTGACAGTTGTTTATCTTCTATAGATAAGTGTGTATTCAACTCTTTTGCCTATTCATTTATTGGAATGTTTAATTGAATTTTGTGATATTTTCTATATTTTAGATACAAGTACTTATCAGATACGATTTTCAAACATTTTCTCCCACTCAGGGACTTGTCTTTTCATTCTCTTAACAGTGTCTTTATAAGACCCAGAGTTTTTAACTTTGACGCATTCCAAATTACTGATTTATTCATCTAAGAAATCTTTACCTAACTCAAGGTCACAATTTTGCTCTCCCATGTTTTCTTCTACAAGTTTTACAGCTTTAGGTTTTATATTTACATCTATGATCCATTATGAATTGCCTTTTGAATTGTCTTTTGTACATGGTACAATATACAGATCACAGTATGTAACTGTGTATATGAATATCTACTTGTTTCAGCACGATACATTGAAAATACCATCCTTTATACATTGAATGGCTTCTGCACCTTTGTCAAAAGTCAGTTGTCCAATATATGTAGGTCAATTTTTAGGTAGTTTATTTTGTTCTTTTGATCTGCTCTTCTGCCTTCATGCCAGTAGCACACTGTCTTAATTACTATGGGTTTGTAAGAAGTCTTAAAATCAGGTAGTGTTTGTCATCCGTTTTGTTCTTTCTCAAAGTTGTTTGCATAGTCTAGATCCTTTGTATTTTTACATGAATTTTAGAAACAGCATTTTACTTTCTGTTAAAACTATATCAGTTAGAATTTTTATTGGGATTGTTCTGAATATATAGATCAGTTTAAACAGAACAGGCATCTTAACAATACTGAGTTTTCCAACTCATGAAGACAGTATGTCTCTCTATTTATTTAGGTCTTCTTTAATTTCTCTTTGCAATGTTACGTAACGTTCACTATACAGACCTGTCACATATTTGGATAGATTATTCCTAGTTATTTCATATTTCTTGGTGCTCTTATAAATGCCAGTATTTTGAATTACATTTTTCTTTTCACTGAGCTGTCAGCTGCCAAATGTTTAACAGTAGCTGTTAACTAATCTTCTAGGTTGAGATCTCAGACTATAAAATGGAAAAGGACCTGACACTTAGCAGGCATTTGCCTGTGTTTCCATGTCAGCTTTCAGAAGTTATTGAAAATATACTGTAACCAGAGGAAAAAAGTCCCAGAGACAAATCAACAGGTCATCTCCAGAAAAATCCATCGTAAAATAGTTTAGTAGATTTCAACTTTATATGTGGTCAGAATTGAATCTGTTGAATTGTGGGGTTTGTTACCTACTCCCCACCACCAGCAATCCATCTCAGTGAATTCCTGGGATCTTGGGTGTTGAGAAAGAAAGAGAGAGAGAGAGTGAACATATATGTATGTGGATATGTATGTGTGTATGAATGTGTATATTGCTGAAGCTGCCAGAAGTATTTATTGTGAGGAATACTTCAAGTTAATTACTGTGGTCATATCAGACCAGTTCAGTTCCTAGGACATACTAGAAAACAAATCAAAGTGATGGTTATTTTCTTTTCCGAGCTGTCTTGGCCCACATTGTTACCATGGTGACTCAGTGACTGCCATGAGATTTGGTGCAGAATGAGCATTCGTTTATGTTTTTTGCCTGAAACACGTATTATTATGATAGTTGTTAAGTGGCTGTTTTCCAATTCTGATATTCCTCTGGAATTATCAGTTTGCATTTGAGAAAAAGATAGAGCTTTTTCTTCTCCCTTATTTATCAATGTATTTATTAACGTTTATTTATGTCAGTGTGACTCAGATTCCCATGTTCCTCAAAGGGTTACCCTCTGTAATTATTAATATATATTTTTTGTATTAGGCCATTCTTGCCTTGTAATACAAAAATACCTGAGATGGTAATTTATGAAGACAAAGGTTTAATTGGCTCATGGTTCTGCAGGCTGGACAGGAAGCATGGCCCCAGGATCTGCTTAGCTTCTTGGGAAGCCTCAGAGAGCTTTTAATCATGGCAGAAGGCAAAGCAGTAGCAGGCATGTCACATGGCAAGAGTGGAAGCAAGAGAGACAGACAAGGGGAAAGTTTCAGACTTTTAAACAACCAGATGAATCAAAACCAGGGAGGTGAGGTGAGAGGTGTCTACATTTTGAGTAATTTCTTTTGTTGTTTCTGTTACTCATCCACGATTGAAAAGCAATGCTGTGGATGGCAACAAGGTCTATGAAAAGTTTAAATCCTTTGATGTCTAATTTCATTGTTAGTTGCTCCTGCTACTCAGCTTTAAATTTCTGTGTCTTGTCTTGTGTGTCCAGTAGGTAACAATTTTTTCAATTCAGTAATTCTTATTCAGTGATTAATGTATGAGACACTGAAGAAACATCACAGAGAATAAGAGAAGAAGAATCCCTGGAGCTATCATTCTAGTTTGGGGAAACTGGCAATAAGCAATCAATGAGTGAGGCAATTTCATATGGGGATTTGTGTTTTGAAGAAAATTAACGGGTAGAGTAGAAAATGACTGAGACAGAGATTATCATAGATGAGGTTGTCAGTGAAGCTCTTTCTCAGAAAGTGACACTTGAGCTGAGTCCTGAACAACAGAAAGAAGCTAGGCATGGAGAGGCCATTTTGTCAATGTCCCTGTGCTGTGTATGGGCACCATTGATCTAGGAGCAGAGGACAAGTTGGAGTGGCTGAAGCCTGGCCCATAAATGCAGACAAGTAGGAGATGAGGTTGAAAGGGCAGACAAGAGCCACAAGGTTTGGATCTTTTAAGGAGTTTGGGTTTTATTCTGAGTGTGGAAGGCTAGAGTACGGGAGTGACGTGATGTGATCCTTGTTTTCAGAAAGTGACTCTGGCCACTGTTTGGAGAATGGACTGGAGAGGGACAAAATAAAGAGTGGGGATAACCATTAGAAGAATATTGCAGAAATTCAGGGAAGAGGCACAGGTGAATGATGCCAGGACTGCAGCTGTCTGCAGAGGAAGGGTTAGACCTGGACAGGTCGTGTTTGGAGGTAGGGCATGGGGGACCTGCAATGGCTGTGTGTGTGGGGTGTGTGGGGATAAGGCATAGTCAAGGAGGACCGCTCGGCTGTTTGTTTGGCCATGCAGAGAAATGGTGGGCTGTTTTCTGAGATCAGTTCCTCCAAGTGCTTCTGAGGCATTCTTAAGGTAATTAGTCAACCAACAGTGGTTGTAGTGAAAAAAAGTGATTTTAAAATGCATCAGTTGATGACTAATATTCATACCTGAGGGTAGACGGAAAGAGGAGAGTTAAGGATTGAAAACTACCTACTGGGTCCTATGCATATAACCTGAGTGGCAAAATAATCTGCACACCAAACCCTTGTGACACACGATTTGCCTGTATAACAAACCTTCACATGTACTCCTGAAACTAAAATCAAAGTTAGAAAATGAACAAAAATTTTAAAAATAAGTAAAATCAAAAGCTATATAAGGCAAAAATAGGTAAATTTGACAGCAAAATTAAAAACTATTATTTAACAAAAGATACCACAAACAAAAGTAGAGGACTCCAACAGATTGGAGGAAAATAGTCATTTTATAATAAAGAATGAGTATCTGGATCATAAATAAATAAGAAAAAGGAAAAACAAGACTCATTTGTAAGACTATTAAGCTTTATTTAATTTATTGAATTGGCTTGATTTAATCTTTCCACAATGTAAACATATATCAAAACATTACAGTGTACCCCATAGTATATACAATTATTTGTGAGTTAAAATTAAAATTTAAAAAATACCCGAGTTGATAAATAGGATTCAGTTGCACGACTATTAAACTTTCTTTTCCCAGTATCTCTGCCTTAGAATTTTCAAGTTAATGTGATCCCTGGCCATTTATATTTTTAAAAACCAGAACACAGGGACTTTTTTTTAAATTTTAATTTTAATTTTAAGTTCCATGGTACATGTAAAATATGTTTTGTCCTGTATTGTAAGTACTATATAATCCTGGTTTTACTGACAAGACTTTGAGTGATTTTATGGTGAAATAACAGTATTCAAAGTCACAAGGTTTTTACATGGCAGAACTAGGGTTTGTCTCTAGTCTGTATACAGAGCCCACACTCCTAACCAGTACACTTAGGAAGAAGAGACAGATATTTGTTGAACTATGTCAACCCATGGTGGTTGGTGTAACTTTGAGACCGTAGCTCTTTTATCTGTGTTTCTGTAGTCATTCTACATTGTACCAGATGGTATTTATTTAAGAAAAAGTAATAATTTTAAAAATAAAAACATTAATAAACATCATAATTACTTTGTACTAGACAACTTGGCTGTTGATATAGATAATTCCTTGGACCCCCAAGATGAATGAGTTCTTTTCCCTTTTAGGAACTCAGAGTGGTTTTCCAGATGGGAATCACATTGCTCTCTGTCCCTGAGATCTTGCTGGAGACAGGGCTACTCAGTCCCTCTTTGCTGGGTGAGTATAGATGTGGTGTGGTGACTTACTCAAGGGCACCTAGAGTTAGTGGGATAAGTATGTCTCCTGTCTCATATCCAGCTGCATGTCCATTATACACAGCTGTATTAGTTTGTTTTCATGCTCCTGATAAAGACATACCCAAAACTGGAACCAAAAAAAGGTTTAATTGGACTTACAGTTCCACATGGCTGGAGAGGCCTCAGAATCGTGGTGGGAGGTGAAAGGTTCTTCTTACATGGAGGCAGCAAGAGAAAATGAGGAAGAAGCAAAAGCGGAAACTCCTGATAATCCCATCAGATCTCGTGAGTCTCTTTAACTATCACGAGAACAGCATGAGAAAGGCTGGCCTCCATGATTCAGTTACGTCTCCCTGGGTCCCTCCCACAACATGTGGGAATTCCGGGGGATACAATTCAAGTTGAGATTTCGATGGGGACACAGCCAAACCATATCATACCGCCCCTAGCCCCTCCAAATCTCATGTCCTCACATTTCAAAACCAATCATGCCTTCCCAAGAGTCTCCCAGAGTCTTAACTCATTTCAGTATTAACCCAAAAGTCCACAGTCCAAAGTCTCATCTGAGACAAGACAAGTCCCTTCCACCTATGAGCCTGTAAAATCAAAAGCAAGCTAGTTACTTCCTAGGTAGAATGGGGATAGAGGTATTGGATAAACGCAGCCATTCCAAATGGGAGAAATTGGCCAAAACAAAGGGGTTACAGGGCCCATGCAAGTCCAAAATCCAGCAGGGCAGTCAAATGTTAAGGCTCCAAAGTGATCTCCTTTGACTCCAGGTCTCGCATCCAGGTCACACTGATGCAACAGGTGGGTTCCCATGATCTTGGACAGCTCCACCCCTGTGGCTTTGCAGGGTACAGCCTCCCTCCTGGCTGCTTTCATGGGCTGGTGTTGAGTGTCAGTGACTTTTCTAGGCATATGATGCAAACTGTCAGTGTATCTACCATTCTGGGGTCTGGAAGACAGTGACTGTCTTCTCACAGCTCCACTAGGCAGTGCCCCAGTAGGGACTCTGTGTGGGGGCTCCAATCACAAATTTTTCTTCTTCATTGCCCTAGCAGAGGTTCTCCATGAGCCCCCCACCCCTGTAGCAAACTTTTGCCTGGGCATCCAGGAGTTTCCATACATCTTCTGAAATCTAGATGGAGGTTCCCAAACTGCAATTCTTGACTTTCGTGCACCTGCAAGCTCAACACCACGTGGAAGCTGCCAAGGCTTGGGGCTTCCCCCGTCTGAAGCCACAGCTGGGGCTGTATGTTGGCTCCTTTCAGCCACAGCTGGGACACAGGGCACCAAGTCCCTAGGCTACACACAGCATAGGGACCCTAGGCCCAGCCCAGGAAACTACTTTTTTCTCCTGGGCCTCCAGGCCTATGATGGGAGGGGCTGCTGTGAAGGTCTCTGACGTGGCCTAAAGGCATTTTCCCCATGGTCTTGGGGATTAACATTAGGCTCCTTGCTACATATGCAAATATCTGCAGCCAGCTTGAATTTCTCCCCAGAAAATGGGTTTTTCTTCTCTATCACATAGTCAGGCTGCAAATTTTCCAAACTTTTATGCTGTGCTTCCCTTATAAAACTGAATGCCTTTAATAGAACCCAAGTCACCTCTTGAATGCTTTGCTGCTTAGAAATTTCTTCTGCCAGATACCCTAAATCATCTTTCTTAAGTTCCAACTTCCACAAATCTCCAGGGCAGGGGCAAAATGCTGCCAGTCTCTTTGCTAAAACATAGCAAGAGTCACCTTTACTCCAGTTCCCAACAAGTTCCTCATCTCCATCTGAGACCACCTCAGCCTGGATCTTATTGTCCATATTGCTATCAGCATTTTGGGCAAAGTCATTCAACAAGTCTCTAGGAGCTTCCAGACTTTCCCACATTTTCCTGTCTTCTTCTGAGCCTTCCAAACTGTTCTACCCTCTGCCTGTTACCTAGTTCCAAAGTTGCTTCCACATTTTCGGGTATCTTTTCAGCAACACCCCACTCTACTGGTAACAATTTACTGTATTAGTTCAATTTTACACTGCGGATAAAGACATACTCAAAACTGGGAACAAAAAAGGGTTTAATTGGACTTACAGTTCCACATGGCTAGGGAGGCCTCAGAATTACGGCGGGAGGCGAAAGGCCCTTCTTATCTGGCGGCAGCAAGAGAAAATGAGGAAGAAGCAAAAGCGGAAACCCCTGATAAACCCATCAGATCTTGTGAGACTCATTAACTAGCACAAGAATAGCATGGGAAAGACTGGCCCCCATGATTCAGTTACCTCCCCCTGGGTCCCTCCCACAACATGTGGGAATTCCGGGAGATAAAATTCAAGTTGAGATTTAGATGGGGACACAGCCAAACCATATCAACAGCATTAGCCGTGTTCATATCTGTAGTGCTTCACTTTTCAGGGGCTCAGTGGATATGTGCTTCTTTGAGGTTAACCTGCAGATAATATATGGGAACACTAAGTATCTTCAAATAAGAAAAAATAGGGTGTTGAATTTTTTATGTGGCCTAAACTGTAATGGGAAATTAGAAGAAAAATTCCTAGAATCATACATCATGTTCTCTTTTGTAACTTTCTTCCTTCAGTCAACATACTGTATGTGAGATTTACATTTATTGTTGTCTATAGTAGTAGATCATTCATCATCATTGGTGGATATTGTTACATCTAGTGGATATTTCACAGTAAGCATATCTGCTATGTGGATTTTTTCTAGTTTTTGACATTATGAATAACAGTGTTATGAATGTCTTGTACATATCTTTGGATAAACATTTATTTTTCTTTCTTTTGGGTGTGTACCTTCCCCAGACCTAAGAATGAAATTTCTGAGTTGTAGGATGTGTGTATGATCAGCTCAGTCAATACTGCCAGCACTTTTTCAAAGTAGTTGTTGAATTTGTATTTTCACCGGTGCTGTGAAAATTACACAGCTTCCATATCCTCACCAACACTTGGTGTTTTCCATCTTTTTAATTTTCTTTTTCTGGTGTAAGTGTGGTGGTATCTCATTATGGGTTTTAATTATACTTTAATTTCTCATTAACTCTCTGGAGTTTTAAATCTCTTTTCTCTCTTTGTTTTTGCTTTTCAATTTACATGTTCAGTATCCCTAATCTGCAAATCCAAAAGGCTCCAGTATCTGAAATTTTTTGATCATTGACATGATGCTCAAAGGAAATGCTCATTGGAGCATTTCAGATTTTGAATTTTCAGATTAATGATATTCAACCTGTATTTGCTTATTACACTAGATCTTTGGTTTGTGCAGTATACATTCTCAATTTTGCTGATTGTATCCCCATTGTGCTGTTACTTACGTTGCTCTGGCCCCTCCTATTTCCTGTAAATTAGTAGAGTTAGAGGCTTCATCCAGTTCAGGATTTTTTTGGCAAGAGTACCTCGGATGTGTTACATATCCTATATCCTTACGCCAAGTCTTAGTTCAGGCTGCTTTACCAAATTACCACAGACTAGGTGGCTTAAATAACAAGCATTTACTTCTCATGAGTCTGGAAGCTAGAAGTCTAATCAGGATGCCAGTATGGTTGGGTTCCTGGTGAGAATCCTCTTCCTGGTTATGTCCTCACATGGCCTTTCCTTGGTGTGTGCATGCAGAGAGCAAGCAAGCTCTCTGTGTCTCTTCTTATAAGGACACTAATCTCATAATGAGGGCTCCACTTTGATGACCTAATTATTTCCCAGAAGTCCTATTTTTAAATACTGTCACATTGGAGATTACGGTTTCCACATACGAGTTTTGGGAGGACACAAGCGTTCAATTCATAGGCATACAAAGAACCTCATTGTGTCTGATTGTCACTCCTACCTTGACATTAAGATTGAGCACTGGGCTCAGGTGTTGCTAGACTGATCCATCCATTGTGAAATGTCCCATCTGCTTTTTACCTCATGATTTTTTACAATCTCTGATCTTTACCAAGATCTGCATTTCATTAAAAATTCTACAGTGATGGTGTTTAGATAGTACAATTTCTTCTGCATTTATTAGCTGGACATTTTCTATAAGAGAAACTCCCCCGCTTCAACCCCCGCCAACTATTAGGCTTAACTGAGGTATGGCACACACAGGAAAGGAAGGACAAATATTTAATCATTTTGCAGTATTTCCAGTTTTAAGAATAAGTATTGTTTCTGTAGGATCCTCCACAGATGAGCAGTGAGTTGGTTTTGTTTGAGTTTTTTCTTTTAGAGTGTCATCACGACTCAGAGATGTTTCTGTATGTGATGTGTTTTAACTCACTGTAGGCACTAATGTTTTTGATGCTTAAATTGTTCTTATTTGGTCTGTGGAAGTCCTATCAGGTTGGCTTCTGAGTCTTTTTGACATGTTCGCTGGTATGATCATTCAGTCCAGACTCATCTGGTACAGCTTGACCACAGACTTGGATTCGGCCATTTTTCCTTGTAGGTAATATTTTTAGAGGACTCAATCTGGGTACTAGAGTTGCTCATTGCTACTGGGTTGGCCATTGCTTCTTAACTTTTTCAGTGCATCAGACCAGTAAATAGGTATTATATTTTTAAGAGAATATACATGATCAGCTTCCATCCTGGGCTGCTACTCTGTTCCCTTATAAGTAATTATTTTTATCAGTTTTTGTTTTAACCTACTAGTTTAAAGAATATAATAGAATGTTATATGACTGTTAGTTTTCTCCTCTCCTCAGAGGTAAAAGGTGGCATATCCAACCTCAGTCAAGTTTCTAGAAGCTCAGAGGTGTGGAGCATTTGAGATATCCCTTCTAAGGTGAAGGATAAATACTTGCACCTGGCCTTTCCTACAACCAAAAAAGAGGTACACCATCTGGTGGGCTTCTTTGGATTTTGGAGGCAACATACTCTTCATATGGGTGTGTAACTCTGACCTATTTACTGAGTAACACAAAAAGCTGCTAGTGTTGAGTAGGGCCTAGAACAAGAGAGGGCTCTGCGACAGGTCCAGGCTGCTATGCAAGCTGCTATGCCACTCGGGCCATATGATCAAGCAGATCCAATGGTGCTTGAGTTGTCAGTGACAGATAGGGATGCCCTTGGGAACCTTTGGCAGGCACCCATAGGTGAATGGCAACACAGGCCCTGCCATCTTTCCTAGATAACTACAGTTCTTTTGAGAAACAACTCTTGGCCTGCTAATGGGCCTTAGTAGAGACTGAAAACAACCAAGTTTTCACGTGACCTGAGCTGCCCACCATGACCTGTGTGTTATCCAACCCACATAGCCATAAAGTTGAGTATGTACAGCAGCACTCACTCCATCAACAAAGGTAAGTAGTATATATGAAATCGAGCTCAAGCAGGCACAGAAGGCATAAGTTAGTTACATGAGGAAGCAGCTCAAATGCCCATGGCCCTCATTTTTGCTACACTCCTTTCTTTCTCCCAGCCTGCACCTATAATCTAAGTTCCCTATGATCAGTTGACAGAGAAAGAGAAGTTTGGTTTACAGATGATTCTGCATAATATGCAGGCACTACTCAGAAGTGGACAACTAACACTACATCCCCTTTCTGGGATGTCCCTGAAGGACAATGGTGAATGGAAATTCTCCCAGTGGGCAGAACTTTGAGCAGTGTACAGTGTACCTGGTTGATCACTTCGCTTGGACAAATGGCTGGACCTGCCATTTCTATATATACTGATTTACGGACTGTGGACAATAGTTTGGCTGCATGATCAGGAACTTGGAAAGGACATGATTGGAAAATTGGTGACAAAGAAATTTAGGGAAGAAGTACTTGGATAGACCAACACACATTGGGAATCAAGCTTTCAATACATAAACTTTACTGGACACATTCTTACTGCAGCATTCTGCCCCCAGCTCATAAAATTCATGTCCTTCTCACATGCAAAATATTCTGACGCCACCCCAGTAGCCCCAATGTCTTTACCAAATCAAATATGGATGAGACTCAAGCCATGATACATTCCGAGGCAAATTCCCTCAAACTGTGAGGCTATAAAATCAAAACAAGTTATCTACTTCCAAAATGCAACAGTGAGACAGGCATAGGATAGATATTCTAATTCTAAAAGGGAAAAATAGGCAAGCAAAGAGGAGTAACTGGTCCCAAGTAAGTGCAAAACTGAACAGGGCAAACAACGTTAAATCTCAAAGCTGGAGAATAATCTTTCTTGACTCCATGTCCCACTTTCTGAGCACACTGGGGTATGGATTAAGCTTCAAGGCCTCAGAAAGCCCCACCCCTATGGCTTTGCTGGGTTGCGCCCTTGCAGCAGCTCTCATGGGTTGGAGTCTCCTGCCTGCAGCTCTTCCAGGCTGGGGCTGCACACTGATGGGTTTACAGGTTCATGGTTTCAGTGGCAACCCTATGCCTGTGGCTCAACTAGGCATTACCCTAGTGAGAACTCTATAGTGCCTCTGCCCCTGCAGCAGGTTTCTGCCTGGGTCACAGGGATGTCTGATACATACTTTAAAATCTAGGTGAAGGAAGCGGTGCCCCCATAGCTCTTGCATTCTGCTCACTTACAGAATTAGCACCATGTGGGAACCAGCAATGCTTACAATTTGCACCCTTCACAGGAGCAGCCCGAGCATACCTAGGTCCACTTGAGATACAGCTGGGGCTGCCAGGCAGCACTGTACTAGAATTCAGGGATCAGAGTCCCAAGATGGTTCTGAGCAGTGAGCCCATGAGGGAGACCCCAGACCTGTCCATTGAAACCACTCTGCCCTCCTAGATCTCTGGACTTGTAGGAAAGGGGCAACTTTGAATATCTCTGAAATGCCTTCAGAGTCTTTCTCCAATGCATTGTCCTGATGAACAGCACCTGGCTTCCTTCTAGCCATGCTAATCCCATTATCAGAGAGTTGCTTGGCTGTACTCTTGCATGCTTTTTTATTCTTTATATGACATGAATGTGAATTTTCCAAATGTTTATGTTCTGATTCCCCCTCTTTTTTTTTTTTTTTTTTTGAGGTGAAGTTTCGTTCTTGTTGCCCAGGCTGGAGCACAATGGCGCAATCTCGCCTCACTGCAACCTCCACCTCCTGTGTTCAAGCAGTTCTCCTGCCTCAGCCTCCCAGGTAGCTGGGATTACAGGCGCCTGCCACCTGCCACCATACCTGGCTAATTTTTATATATTTAGTAGAGATGGGGTTTCACCGTGTTGACCAGGCTGGTCTTGAACTTCTGACCTCAGGTGATCCCCTGCTTCAGCCTCCCAAAGTGCTGGGATTACAGGCATGAGCCACCATGCCTGGCCCTCTGATTCCTTTTTAATTATAAATTATAAATTCTGTCTTTAAATCATTTCTCTTTTCTTATATCTTACTGTATGCAGTTATAAGATGCCACATAGTTCCTCCAATACTTTGCTTAGAAATTTCTTCTGCCAGATACTTTAGTTCATCACTCTTAAACTCTGCCTTCCATAAAGCCCTTGGGCATCAAAACAATACAGTCAAGTTCTTTGCCAATTTATAACAAGAATTGCCTCTATGCCAGTTTCTAATAATATATTCCTAATTATCATCCAAGACCTGGTGAGAATGGTCTTTACTGTCCATATTTCTACCAATGTTCTAATCATAGTCACTTAGGTAATCTCTAAGAAGATTCAGACTTTTCTTACAGTCATACTCTTCTTCTGAGGCCTCACCAGAATTGCCCTTAATACTCTGTTCATGGCAATGTAGGCTTTTGCTAGCTGGCTCCTCCGAATTCTTCTAGCTGCTATTACCCAGTTCCAAAGCCACTTTCACATTTTCAGTTATTTGTTATTTCAAAACCCCACTTCTTTGGTACACATTTTCCTAATCCATTTTTGTGCTGCTAAAACAATGTCACAGACTGTGTAATTTGTAATTTATTGACTCACAGTTCTGGAGGTTGGGAAGTCCAAGATCGAGGGGCTGGCATCTGGTGAGGGCTTTTTATTGTATCATCCCGTGGCAGAAGGGCAAAGAGAGGAGGAGAGACAGCAAGAGGGGGAACAAACTTGTCCTTTTATGAAGAACCTACTCCCACAGTAATGGCATTAATCTGTTTCTGGGTGCAGAATCACCATGACCCTAGACATCTTAAAGGTCCCACCTTCCAACACCTTTATATTGGGAATCAGGTGTCCAACAAATGAACTTTGGAAGACACATTCAAACTATACCACTGTGGATACCAACTAGAAGCAAGTCACTAACTCCAGCTCACACACCATGAGGCAGATTATACAAAGAAGTAAATAACAAGAAACAAGAATCACTGGGTGCATACTTAGATTATACTTACCACAACATCACTAGGCCATTTCTCCTTACTGATTACTGGGAATACTTCATATGTCATGATAATTAGACTCATATAATTTAATATTATAACCTAATTTAATATTACAATTTTATAATGCAATTTTAATATAATATATTTGATATATTAATATTATATTTAGATAAATATTTAATAATTTGATATTATATATCATATAATTTAGTATTATAGTTTTAAAGTAATATAGTTCATTATATAAATAAATTAAGCAGTACCCAGTGCATGTGAGCACTGAGAGAAATCAGAGCATTCAAATTCCTGGTGACTTCAGGACACAATGCCTTAATGAAATTCCATTTACTACTGAGCAGACATTATGAACTAATATGTCTGATTTACTTAACTGTTTCTAAATTCCCATAATTTAATCTAAATTATACATTAAATAATAGGCTACTTGAATAAATGTTAAGATGAAAAGAGATACAAATGAGAGCATTTCTTGCTCATACTAGTTTTGTCAACATTAATTTTCTACCCTCCAGATCATCTGTTCCAGAGGAAACATGTGTCGTTCTGACTGAGCCCCTGCCTGTCTGTCACCTTAAGAACCAGTCAATTCATATGGTCCACATATCAAGGTCTCCTGTGCCTAGAGAGAGAGAGGATTTCATTTCAACCATCACCATCACCACCATCATCATCATCACCAGGAGGGGTTGTTGAGTGAGCATCTGGGGAGAGGAGAGTAAAATGATCAGTTCCAAAGCCCTGGTGGCCAGTCATCTACATAAGAAGTCACTGGGCATAGGCAGTGTTTCTCTCACCTTCTTTCATTCTTGTCCCTGTTTTGGAGGACTTTTAGACATGTTCTTCCTCACACATCCTTTCTGCCAAGAATGTAAAATATTAATACGACACGTAAAGTGGTAACTGTTTTTGTACTGTGGTACTTTGCAGGACCACAAACCATTGTAATGTCTACCATCCTCCTTAGCATCGAGAGCCAATTTTCAGCCCCTTGGGCATGATGTCGCCTCTGTTGACAATGCATGAAATACTGTAATGACAGCAAAGGCTGGACCACATTCCTGCCCATTACTTGATGTGTGATGCTGAAATCCTTTCTTACCCTCTGTCAGCTTGCCCTTAGTCATCTGTAAAAGGAGACTCACTATATCTTCCTTACATGACTAGTCTATGGTGTAAATAAGAAATCCTGTACAGCATAGATGTCACCTAGTAGGACATCAACAAATGTTCATACTGACCCACTTTTCACCTCCCTCCTAGAGAAGTGATAACTGTTACCTAAGCCAAACAGCACAATTGCCATAGAGTCTACCTGGAAATATACCAAGCAATAAGAAGTTAAACCTACTCACACTTGCATTATGAATAAAGCTTTGGGAACTATTCCTGTGTTGCAGGAGGACTTTGCTGAGGGATCAGGGAAAAGGGAAAGAAATAATTAAAACATTTCCTTTAATCCCCTGTCATTTTCTGCCCCCTTGTTTGATCTTCTAGATTGATATTGGAAAAGCAGTTTCTATTGAGCCCCCAAATGAAGAGTGAGTGCAGATGAAGAGGAGGCAGGACTCACAAGCCCTTGACCTTCATTTCAGACCCATTAGCACCTACAGGACCCTGCACCGGGATTTCATCTGCACTGTCAGCTTCTTCAAAGAGAGAGAGGTTGTTGAGTGAGTACCCACAAGGGCACAGTACTAAAAACATGTAAAATTACAAGTGTTTAAGTCCTAGAAGGTTATGATCTATAAAGAAGATACCTGGGTGTCCTCTGGGGAGGGTAAGAGTTAGAATGCCATTCCTATTCCTTACTAGATGAATCTGCAAAATTGATTTTACATCAGCAAGTTTAATATAGTCAACTTCAGAATGGGAATAATGATGATTTCTCCACAGAGTTATGAGGGAATCATGCAAAATATACAACTACATGCTTTTAGCTATAAATATATAAATGACATCATGGAGTAAGTGCTCTTTTGAAAATTTTTATTCTCTGAAAATAGTATTACTTAGCTATATCTAATAAGGTGATTTGAGATTCCTTTAAATATGACTAGCCATGCTATCTTGGCCATCTTACATATATGCTGTCCAGACCTAAGAGTACAGTGGGTGACAGGTGCCTTGCTTTCTTCTCTCAGAGAGGTTGCCAAATGTCTCTGCAAAGAGGTTGTACCAATTTGTCCTCCCTAGGCCATGTATGGAGTTTTCATGGCCCCACATTTTCCATTTAATGAGGATACAGCATAAACACCAACTCACTGACTGAGTTTTCTTTTCAAACACCATAATTATTCCAGAACATATTTGAGACATAAAGTGGGATCATTATCTTTGCATTTGGTAATTTAAATGTGAAATATGCCATTTATAGGAAAATAAAATATGGAAAATGAAAAATAACATTCCAACAAAAGTATATCACATTAGCAAATATTAATAATGTAGTGAAACCCATTATTTGTACAGATCTTGAAAAATGAGTGTTCATATCTTGTATTTCATTGTGACAAATTAGTAAAGAGATTTTAAGGTGAATTAGACGAATGTTTAATATTCATGGCTTTTTGAGGAAACAGTCCCGCTTGTGGGAATTTATACTCTAGTTAACAGCCTGAGAGGTCCCTGCCATCATCAATCATGTGTCCCTCCTGCTCAGTGCTGAGCTGACAGTTTGCCTAATTGGCTTGGTGCCTTAAGGACTCCCTGACCCTGTTCCATCTATCCTTTTATCCAAAGAGAAAAATAGGTGTCATGGCTGGATGCCCAATTTCAATGGACCATATACTGATGAAACCCAAGGGTTGATATGGAGCAGTGCTCAGATCCTTACTCCTGGAGGGACAAGTAGATCTCTGGCCTCATCCCTATTTGAGATAAATCTCTGTTCCTCTCCTTTCTCTATGTCCTCAGAGGACCTCCTTTTCCTACCAGATAACAAGCAGTCCAATATTTCCCTGAAGTTTAAGTTTGCTAAAGAATGGAAGACACTGGATTCAGACATCTTTGGCTCCCAACCCTGCCATAAACCTCTCCTAAGGCAAGGGGAAGGAACACCAAGCCTGGTTCCTTGCTGGAAATGCAAGGAGGGTAAACACAGGGAGGACAGACATTAACTTCCTCAACAGTGTGTGTCCAGATACATTTGCTAAAGATCTACCACCAGCACTTAAGGTGCCCAGGCTGCCAGCTACTATCCCAGGCTCTGTCAGTTTCTGTGGTGATCAAATCCTTTGCCATTCTACTTTGCCCTTGCTCATCTGTAAAAGGGGACTCACAATGCCTTTCTTAGACAAGTTTTCTGTGGGGTAAATGATAAATCCCATACAGAGTAGATGGCACCTAGTAGAACTTCAACGAATGGTCATCCAGGCCCAACTTTTTCCTCCCTCCCAGAGAAGTGATGACTGTTATCTAAACCAAGCAGCATAACTGCCACAGAGACCTCCTGGAAGGAGAGCAGGAAGATGGAGCATGTGCTCACACTTACATTATACATGAAGCTTTGGGGCCATTTCTGTGTTGCAGGATGGTTTGCTGAGGTATTGGGGTAAGGTGAGAAGATTGTCAAACCAGTCCCCTGTCATTTTCTGCCCCCTCATTTGATCTGCTACATTGATTTGGAAAAGCAGTTTCTATTGAGTCTCAGATGAAGAGAGAGTGCAGATGAAGAGGAGGAAGGAATCATAAGCCTTTGACCCTCATACCAGACCCATTACCACCTATAGGACCTTGCACTGGGATTTCATCTGCATGATCAGCTCTTTCAAAGAGAGAGAGGTTGTTGAGTGAGTACCCACAAGAGCATAACCCTGGCAACACAAGAAACTACAAGTGTTTAAGTCCTAGACAGTCATCATCTCTAAAAGGAGACAATGTGTTATCCTTTGAGGAGAGTAAGAGTTACATCCCCACTCCTGATCATTACTAGATGCCTCTGCAAAATTGATTTTCTATCAGTGAGTCTTAGTTGGTCATCTGTAAACTAGAAATAATGATGCCTTCCTCAAAGACTTGTGAGAGAATTATGCAAAATATGTAATTGTACATTTTTGGCTATAAATGTTTGTGCTATCGTAGAGTAAGTGCCCCTTTGCACCTTTTTCCCCTCTGAAAATAGTGTTTCTGAGATTTCTCTAATAACGTGACTTTGGGACTGTTTAGATATTATGAATCCTGACCATTTTTGTACCATTGCCCAGGCTGCTTGATTCTATCCCTGGCTCCATGAGTTTGTGTGGTGAGCAAACTCTTTGCCATCCAGCTCTGTGCTTAGGAGGAAGTGCGTTGTAGTCATATACATCCATGAAGAGAGCATAGTCTTACCTCACTAGTAGGGTTGTCATGAGAATTAAATTCAGTCACTAAAGTCAAGAACATGGAGCTGGACCCTATAAACAATGTGCTCCATCAATATTAGTTGCCTTTTCTCTCTGGATCAGAAAACTAATGTGGCTCCTAACCTGACCCCTCAGGTAGGCCTCCTTCACTTGCATGTACATGAGAATTAGCTTGGAGAGCCTTTTCTAAACCTTTAGCAGAAACTCACTTGTTGGAAATAGGACTTCTATATCAAAGTCCATTCAAGTGATTAAGCCATAGTAATATGGGCCTCAGAAAGTAGATATTCCATTTGACACCTGAAGTGTTATGTGAAAGCTCATTTCCCCTTCATTCTGTCTGTGCCAGGTATGACCAGCTTTTGCCTTTACTGCCACTCTGATCGCTCATTTCCTTAGTCCTGCCCATTGAAAGAGCTCTCTCAGATAATTGTTAACTCAGAGATTCACAGCTCTTGTTCCTCTGTGGTGTCTCCTGTTTCAAGAGCCCAACATGAAAATATGGCATGCTTCTATGATGTTAACCTGCTGATAAAATGAGAGGATACAAAATAGCTTATTATCTGAAAATAGAATGCTGATTTTTATCCCTGACCCCAAACGTCATGAATGAGATGACGAAATGGCACGTGACTGATGATGCTCTATTCTTCACAAGATGCCATCAGCTGGAGATGGAAGCCCCAGGAACCAGTGTGGGTTCCTGGGGCTGTTTCTACTTCCTTCACTCCCTGAATTATTTTCTGTGGACTAAGATTTGTACTCTGTTTGTGGCTCTGATGGTGTTGGTGTGTGCTTTCTGGGAAGTACGAATGGGGAGGAATGCTAGGAAGGTGTCAGCTGTTAGAGAAGCCCTGAGAGGAGGGGATCCTGATTTAAGAGAGGATTGAAAACCATGGCCCTAAGTCAGGTTAGTCCGGCATGCACATGATGTCTAATAATAAGGGGGGTGGCACACTTACCCTCCTAAGAGGCACCTGAATTTCCTGTGAGGGGATGTCCCTGCCATGTTTGTGTGCCTTGGAAACTGACTTCTGACACTGTAAGGACAGCATTAGTGTTGTCCTCAGAAGGCTAGGCGGTGGGGTGAGGGTGGGGGAAGATTGAATCCTCAGAGCAACTTTAAAGACCCTACTGACAGAGACAGAACAGCCTGCTTCAGCTGAGAGGAGGGCAGGAGAGATAACTAGGTGGGCAACAGGTGTCTCTTAAAGCAGGAACCATACAGTGGTACATGAGGATCATCAACTCTGGCTAAGTGAGATGCTGGCCTGAGATGTTAGAGCACTTTTACATGCTTTCATGAGCTGGAGGTAGAGCACAGGCCTGCTGATTCTCAGCTCTGTGCTCTCATGAATTACTGCAAGCTGCCTTTTCAAAGGAAAGGCAGACTTGGTTCTCACCATCTTGGAGACACAGTTTCCTCATCTCAAAAATGGGAACTGACACCACTCCTTTTATAGGGCGGTCCTGAAGACGGACTGCTATCCTGTGTGTGCAGAAAACAAACTGCAAATATAACCCTATTCACGTTAATGAGACAGACCCTGGGGTCATTGGAAAATGGAAGGCTCAGCCAATGGTGCCATTTGCTCAGAGCACAGAGTGCTTGCACACAGGGCTAGAAAATGTAGGCTGGGTCCATGGTAGGAGGTGTCTCTGGCAGGGAGAGAAGGTGGGTTGGTTTTGAGGATGTTTTGAAGATATGATTATCTTTACCCACTTTCTTAATAGTGCCAGCATTACCTGGTAGTGCTCTTCCTTCCAGAGACTGTATTTGTCGCTGAGCCACTGTTGCTATGCAACAGCCTCCTCTGAGCTCAGAGCATGATTCAGCAATACTGGTCTGAGCTGCTACATCCAGAGTCCTGGAGATGAGATGACAGAGAGGAAGTGGCAGAAGGTCTGGGAAGTCTGTACAGGAGTGGAGTCTTGGGATCTTGAATGGCCTGCTGTCTGGGAGGGTCCATCTCTGGAGTGAAGACATGTCAGCCAACACTGATGAGAGACAGAGCGAGTAAAGGAGATAGATCAATGAACAAAATATATGGAGTGGACATAAAATGAAGCTTATGCTTAGCCTTTTAATATACATAGGAATTTTCCAAAAAGAATTGGCAACATATTCTCCAAACTGTTTCACGAATGACTCTAAAGAATAACATCTGTTTGGTCATCTAAAAAATTAGGAGCTTTAATTTTTAAGAAAGGAAAACCAAAATGATGATAGATCCCCTTTGCCCATAATTGCAGCTCTAGAATTCTCAGATGGTGACTCAGCAAGAGTGGTAGGAGGGAGTAGGGACCTAGGCTCGATGGTTATCAGCCAGAGCTTCTGGAATTTTCCACACATTATCAGTAATCTTGTGTATTCATCACTATCTGGGATCTCTAAGCCCCAAGATAGGAAGCCCAGTCCCTCTCTGAGATGGAGAGAAAGCCGTACCTGGGAGTGTGTGTTTGGCGTGATAGAGTTTGAGCCCTAAATACACACACACATACAATGTTGTGTTTCAGCCATAGACACACACACACATACAAGTACACCCACACCTACTATGTCTAGGCATTTATTTCAAACTGCTTCTTCTCCCATGAGCAATATGTTTTTTACATGTTCCAAAAACAGTAGGTGTATGTGTACGTGTTTTTGTCAAACCATGTACAATTTAATCTTAATATTATTACCTCAGTGGTTTTCTTGATTATAACATTTCAAAAAGTAAAGATAAGTATTTATACAATGAAATACATATATGGGGAGAGAGAGAAAGAGAAAGTGATAGAAATGATTACTACAGTGAAGCACATTAACATATCCATCTATTCACATAGCTATCATTTTTTTTGTGAATGCACTTGAAACCTACTCTCTTACCAAATTTACAATGTACACTATATTACTATTAACTATAGGCATCATGCTGTACATTAGATCTCTAGGCTTATTTATCCTTCATAGCTTCAATTTTATACTTTGGAACAACATCTCTCCTGTTCCCCCCTTCCCCACTCCTGGTAATGACAGCTCTATGCTTCTATGAGCTTGACTATTTTAGATTCTACATCTAAAGTGATTTCACTTACGCATAAGTGAAATCATGCGTAGTTCTTCTTTCTATGTCTAGCTTATTTTACTTAGCATAATGCCCCCCAGCTTCATTCACGCTATCACAAATAGTAGGGTCTCCTTTTTAAAGGCCAAAATGATATTCCATTGTGTGTGTGTGTGATTATATATATACACACACACATATACATATATAATAATCATATAATATATAATATATAAACCACACATGTATATATACATATATGTATATATAATCACACACATATACATACATACATATACATATATATTTATAATACAATATTCCATTGTGTATACAAAGTTCTTGATATAAAATGGGGTGGTGTTTCCATATAACCTATGCACATCCTCCCATATACTTTAAATCATCTCTAGATTGGTTACGATACCTAATACAATGTAAGTGCTATATAAATAGTTGTTATACTAAATTGGTTTTAAAATTTGTATTTTATTATTGTATTGTTTTTATTTTCTTTTCAGAATATTTTCAGTCTGAGGTTGGATGCATTCATGTATGCAGAATCCACAGATACAAAAGGCCAACTGTACTTGTTTAATTCTCACCACAACCTATGAGAAGGATCTATTGTTGCCTGACTTTAGACATAAGGAAACTGAGGTACAGTGAAGACAGAGTTAGCAAATGCCAGGCTGTGTGGCTCCCGAGTAAATTCATCTATCCAGCATGTGCTGCTGCCTCTCAAATGATAAGAAAAATCTTACTTTTTGGGCGGTGGCTCACACCTGTAATCCCAGCTACAGGGATCACCTGGTGATCTCAGTGATAGATAACACCAGGTAAGCAAAGTGTGGAGTTTGCCTGATGGTTGCTTCTGAACTGTTTGGTATATTAATATACTTACAGGAAGCAGTGGCTTACGCCTGTAATCCCAGCACCTTGGGAGGCTGAGGAGGGCGGATCACTTGAGGTCAGGAGTTCGAGACCAGCCTGGCCAACATGGCAAAACCCTGTCTCTACTAAAAATACAAAAAGTAGCCGGGCATGGTGACACACACCTGTAATCCCAGCTGCTACTCAGGATGCTGAGGCAGGAGAATTGCTTGAACCTGAGAGGCGGAGGTTGCAGTGAGCCAAGATTGCACCACTGCACTCCAGCCTGGGCAACAGAGCGAGACTCCATCTAAAAAAAATAGGAAAAGAAAAACTTACTTTTTCATCAGGGCACAGCACAATAAAACAGTGGGTTAAATTGTGTCCCCTCTGATTGGAAATGTGTATATTAAAGCATTTCCATTTGTCCTTGACCCTAAATCTACCTCGCATTTATAGATTTATCTCTTACCTCATCAGTGTAGGTTAGGTTGGGGTGTTCAGTGTAGAGGAGTCCCTCCCAGAAAGTGGAATGGTTATCCTTCATTACCCCAACTTGTACAGGCTTTCCAGACCTTTGCCCACCCCTCTTAGTCTCCAGGACACTGTGAATACAGCAGCCCAGACCCCACTCCGCTGCCTCTCTCTGTCAGTCACCTCCTGCTGGCCCTGCCCCACATTATGCCTTCCAGCCGGTGACTATCAAGGGGCAGTAGAGCTACCTGGTGTTCCATCATATAGATGCCCCAGAGTATGTTGTTGTTGTTGTTGTTGTTGTTTTACGGTCCTCTTTTGCACTTTTAAGTTTTTTTCAGGCAGAATTTGAATCATTTGAATGATTTCATAAAGGTTCATAAGCTAGGTTTTTAGGGAGGTAGTGTATTTTTTGGTGTTTGCATACACTTCTTTGCAGAGAAGTTTGATAATGGCGGTGCATTGGTGCCACCTTGTAACAGAAGCCTGAACTGCAGCCTGAACTAGTGTAAGCTGGAAGGTGAAAGGGAGGGACTGTGGTCCAAACTTACAAGATAGAACTTTCTGGAAGTCTGGGTGTAAAAGGTGGCATACACAAGCAAAAAAGATACTGAGGGCCTCTAAGCAGGAAGTACAGGTTTTTAGTATGTTAAAGAGAAAGAGGTATGTGAGAGGAACTAAAAGATCATTTTAACGTTTATGCATTGAGACTTGTGGTTAAATAGCTAGAAGCCTATATAAGCAAAAATGGGATCAGACCATTTATGATTTCTGTAACCCACTTTTACTGTTATTGTGATTACCTTTCTGTATAAATATATTTTTATGATAACATTTGAAATAACTACAACAAAATTTTAGTGTCATTTTTTTTTAATGACCTGGGTATCATCTCATCATGTGGATGCCCTAAAATTTATTTAATTGGTATCCTAATTACAAAAATTTAGTTCCCTTACTATTTTTTTTCTATTACAAACAATAATATACTTAACCCTATGCTCATATAGACGCAAATATCTTTGTGAGCATTTATTTATAAGTTCCTGAAAATGTCATTTCAAAACCCTTTGAACTATAATATTCTTCAAAATACTATTACTCATTTATATTCCTTATATCACAGTATGAAAATACCTGTTTTTCCACACATTAAAAATAATGTGAATCATTAATCTTGTCTGCAAGATATCATTTTTTCATCTTTTTTTATTATAATTTGTTTTTGCTACCTTCTAGAATTCTATCCTATGGATGTAATATTATCAGTTTTACAACTCTGTGTTATTCAGAGTGTTCTGATAGCTCCTATTACTGACATTCTGTGGATTAAATCTTTACAGAGTCTTTGCACCACAAAAGAGCACAGTTCTGGGCACAGTTCCTGTAGCTGTTTGTACTGGTGAGCAGAATGTGTTCCTCCTAGGAGAATTCTGGTATTGTGATAACAGAACATGATTGTCATATGAGAGAGAGTCTGTGTGCTGACAATTACGTTTCCCTCTTCCTTCTGCCCCTTTATGGCCTTATGTTCCATTTGGTCTCTAAATTCAGGCTCTGCAGTGAAGGAAGGGAATTGTCAGGATGACAGGCCTTAACACTGGATCCTCATCAACATCTTCCACTATGTCCTGAAGATAAACTTCTAAAAGAGAATTGTTGGTGCAAAAGGTGTACACCTATGTAACCCTTTGCAAGGTATTGCCGTACTGACACCCATAAAGGTAGTTCCATATAGGCTCCCCAGGTGGAGTCATGTGGCTGCAGAGGAATGAAGAAACTGGTAATGTTGACATCTAGTCACACAAGGCAGGTGCTGGACTTTGTCGTGGATCAACTCTCAAGCCACTACCATAATTGGAGGATGTGGAAGTGATCAGAAGTTATCAAATTTTGCACACAAGCAAAACCCAAAGTAGCATGAGGGGAAAGGGGACAGTCACTGCTTGGAGGAACACAGGAAAGAGTCAGCAGATTGGGATATAGCAACAGTCGTATACATTCATGTTTATATGAAGCAGGTACATCAAATCAATATCAGAAGACCAGATCATTATCATATTTTTAACAGCTTTCTTGCAGCTAAACCTACAGACAATATAATTTACACATTTAAAGCTTATAATTTGATGAATTTTATTAAATGTATAGAGTTTTTCACCCATACCATAATTAAGTTTTAGACATTTTCATCACTCCAAAAAGTCTCATCATGCTTGAATGCAATTAGTCCTTGCTTCCACCCCAGGCCTTAAACCACAGATATGCTTGGTGTCTCTGTGGATTTCTTTGCTCCAGAAATTTCATGTAAATGCAATTATGTAATATTTGGTCTTTTGCATATATCTTCTTCCACTTCACATATATTTTGAAGGTTCATCTATATTATGGCATATCCATACTTCATTCCTTTTATTGGCAAGGAATAATCATAATATATCACATTTTAGACACATTTAACAATTAATGGACATTTGGGTTGTTTCCAGTTTGGGGCTATTGCAAATAAGGTTGCTACGTACATTTGTATACAAGTTTTTATGTAGACAAATGTGTTGATCTTGGGTGTGTACCTAGGAATGGAATTGCTGGGTCATATGATAACTCTATCCATGCGAGGAACTGCCAGGCAATTTTCATGACTGACTGTCTGGAGGAGCACAGACTTAGTTTTTCTTGTGATTAGACTAGTGTTATAGGTTCTGAGAAAGAATACCACAGAGTTGAAGTGCCCTTCTTGTCATATCATATCTGGGTTTACATAGTGCCCACATGAAGTCACTGGTGATAATGTTTCATCACTTGGTTAAAGTGGTGTCTGTCAAGTTTCTAATAACTATTTTTTCATTCCCTACTCTGTTCTTTAGAAGGAAGTCATGAAATCAGCCCTGCCCTCAGCAAGTGGGGTGCAGAATTAAGCTTGACCTCAGGGAGAGCAGACAGCTACATATTTCACTTAGAATTATTTGAAAAAGACAGTTTTCCTCCTCTCACTGATTTCTTTATTAATTCAAACTTTTGTTCATATTGGTATGGATTCATGTATACCTATGTTAAATGCTGGGATATTTTATTGAACAAATGCATCACAATAGAAACTCCAACATCTTGGTATCTGTGGTGCAGACTGGAACATGAGTGCCGGGGAGACTAGAGCACTCAGATTCCTGGCAGCCTCAAGGCACAAAGCTTTTTTTTTTTTTTTTTTTTTTTTTTTTTTGCTTATTTATTTATTTATTATTATTATTATACTTTAAGTTCTAGGGTACATGTGCATAACGTGCAGGTTTGTTACATATGTATACTTGTGCCATGTTGGTGTGCTGCACCCATCAACTCGTCAGCACCCATCAACTCGTCATTTACATCAGGTATAACTCCCAATGCAATCCCTCCCCCCTCCCCCCTCCCCATGATAGGCCCCGGTGTGTGATGTTCCCCTTCCCGAGTCCAAGTGATCTCATTGTTCAGTTCCCACCTATGAGTGAGAACATGCAGTGTTTGGTTTTCTGTTCTTGTGATAGTTTGCTGAGAATGATGGTTTCCAGCTGCATCCATGTCCCTACAAAGGACACGAACTCATCCTTTTTTATGGCTGCATAGTATTCCATGGTGTATATGTGCCACATTTTCTTAATCCAGTCTGTCACTGATGGACATTTGGGTTGATTCCAAGTCTTTGCTCTTGTGAATAGTGCCGCAATAAACATACGTGTGAATGAAACTCCAGGTTCTATTACTGAGCAGGCATTAACAACATAGTTCCCCTGATTTATTTAACCTCTCCTAACTTCCTATAACCTGACCTAAACTATGGATTTCACAATAGGTTACTTGGATGAAGGTTAAGGTTAAAGGATATACAACTTAGAGTACGATATGATTACAGTTTTAATATTAGTTTTAAAAACATTAATATCGTCTCTCCCAGAAGAAATACCTGTTGTCTGACTGAGCCCCTGTCTGCCATCTTAAAAGACAGTTCACATGGTTCCCATTCGAAGGTCTCTTGGCCCTAGGGGAAGGATTTCACTTCCATCATCATTATCTTCATCATCATCAAGAGGGGTTGTTGAGTGAGCATCCATGAGGGAGTGTAAAATGACTAATCCCTAAGCCTTGGTGGCTCATCATTCACAGAAGTCCCCGAGTACATGCAATGTTTCTTAACTTTCTTTCATTATTAGGATCCAAAGGAGGCTTTTTAGACATTCATTTTTTTCCTCATTAGCTCCTTCCTGCCTAGAACATCAAATTTTAATAGCACCAATATAGTGTAAACTGTTTGTGTGCTGTGTGGTTCATTGTAGTGCCACAAACCATTGTAACGTCTACCATCTTCCTACCCTCCAGAATCAATTTTCAGCCCCTTGGGGACAATATCTCCTCTGTTGAGAATGCATGGATATTGTGATGATGGTAAAAAGCTGTAACTTCATTCCTGTCCCTTACTTGATGTATGACACTGGAATCCTTTCTTAGCCTCTGTCAGCCTGTTGTTGGTCATCTGTAAAAGGAACTCACAATGTCTTCCTCACAGAACTGTTCTGTGGGGTAAATTGGAAATCCTGTACAGAGCAGATGGCACCTAGTAGGACTTCAACAAATGTTTGTCCTGGCCCACCTTTTCTTTTCCTCTCAGAGAAATGATGACTGTCACCTAATCCAAACAGCATAACTGCCACAAAGACCACCAGGAAATGGAGCAGGAAGAAGTAGAACATGATGAATGAAGCACCAGGGCCATTTCTGTGTTGCAGGAGAACTTTGCTGAAGGATTGAGGGAGACTGAAGAAGCTCATTGAACCATTTTCTTTAATTCCTTGTCATTTTCTGCTGCCTTGTTTGATCTTCTAGATTGATATTGGAAAAGCAGTTTCCCATTGAGCCTCAAATGAAAAGAGAGTGCAGATGAAGAGGAAGTAGGAGTCACAAGCCCTTGACCTTCATACTAGACCCATTACCACCTACAGTACCTTGCAGTGGGATTTCATCTGCACCATCAGCTTCTTCAAAGAGAGAGAGGTTGTTGAGTGAGTACACATAAGGGAACAATCCTAGCAACATAAAAAACTACAAGTGTTAAAGTCCTAGACGGTCATCATCTCTAAAACGAGACCAGGTGTTGTCTTTTGAGGAGACTAAGAGTTGCATCCCCACTCCTGATCATTACTAGATGCCTCTGCAAAATTGATTTTCCATCAGTGAGTCTGAGTTGGTCATCTGTAAACTAGAAATAATGATGCCTTCCTCACAGACTTCTTGTGAGAGAATTGCACAAGGCATACAATTGTTTCCATACTTTTAGCTAAGTTAGTGCTGTTATCCAGCTTTTCATTCTCTAAAGATAATGTTTCTGAGATTTCTCTAATAAGATGACCTTGGGATTGTTTTGATATGACTAGACATGTTGTGACCATGCTTGTATACCTTTTCTGGTGCAACACACATGCTTCTCTGTATAGTCCGTGATTAAGAGAGTAGCAGCTGATGGGGGCCTCATTTTGTTTTCTCATAGATGTTGCCGAATGTCTCTGCAAAGAGGTTGTACCAATTTGTTCTTCCCCATTAGTGTATGAAGTTCTTTTCACCTACATTTTCCATTTAAATGGGATGTAGTATAAACACACACTATCAGTCATCAGGGTTTATTTCTAAACTCAGTAATTATTCTATGATATATTCTGAGGCATAAATGTAAACTATGTCATTTATTTAAAAACGTGATAGAAAAAAAAAGGAATCTAACATTATAACACCAGGATATCAGATCAGCAAATACTTAAAAAGTCTTGTGAAACTTATCATTTGTTCAGATCTCTAAAGCAGGTGCTCTCTTATAGTTGGTTGGGATACATATTAATAAAAAGATTATACAGTTCAATTAGACAGTATAGCAATGTTAAATTTTCATGCTTTTTGAGGAAACAGTTACACTTTTGGGAATTTAGCCTCCTGGTATAGCAGGAAGAGCTCTGGCAGTCATCACTCATCTGTCCACATGACTCAGGAAGCTGCCCATTTTCCTAACTGACGCAGAGCCTTCAAGTCCCCTCTTCCTGAGGCATTGTTTTACAATGTAGGTTTTACTATTATTTAGGATAGTGAGGCCAAGGGATCAGGAGACAACTGCCATTAAGGAGATAGTTTGTTACTTGAAATTTCCAAGAGGAGGCACTCTCCATTCCACATAAGTCCACTCAAGAGTCCACCAATTTAGGCGGGAGGTAAACGCGGCAAAAGCCTTTATTGTAGTTTTCTGTGGTAAATGACAGACAAGGCAGGGTAATTAGGCTTAGGACTGACTACTCGGAATAATTTCAGCAGGTTCTGTGGTGCAGGGGCTGTCCTAAGTTGTCTGGAATTGTTACCGGAAAGAGGTCCTGATCCAGACCCCAAGAGAAGGTTCTTGGATCTCACTCAGGAAAGAATTTGGGGCAAGTCTGTAGAGTAAAGTGAAAGCAAGTTTATTAAGAAAGTAAAAGAATAAAAGAATGGCTATTCCATAGGCAGAGCAGCCCCGAGGGCTGCTGGTTGCCCATTTTTATGGGTATTTCTTGATTATATGCTAAACACTGGAGTGGATTATTCATGAGTTTTCCAGAAAGGTGTGGGCAGTTCCCAGAACTGAAGGTTTCTCCTCATTTCAGACCATATAGGGTAACTTCCTGATGTTGTCATAGCATTTGTAAACTATCATGGTGCTGGTGGGAGTGTCTTTTAGCATGCTAATGCATTATAACTAGCACTTAATGAGCAGTGTGGACGACCAGAGGTCACTTTCATAGCCATTTTGGTTTTGTTGGGTTTTAGCTGGCTTTTTTACTGCAACCTGTTTTATCAGCAAGGTCTTCATGACCTCCTATCTCATCCTGTGACTAAGAATGCCTTGACCTTCTGGGAATACAGCCCAGTAGGTCTCAGTCTTATTTTACTTAGCTCCTATTCAAAATAGAGTTTCTCTGGTTCAAATGCCTCTGACAGAATCAGGCTCTGATATGATTAGGGGAGGGTACTATTGGCCTGGAATGTAAGAGCCCAGTAGAGGAAGTGTGAGTGTGTATGTGTAGTTGCTCTGGATTAATTAGTTTGAATATAAAATGTGTGCTCCTTAGGTGAGTTTTTTGTTAGGACTGGGAATTAACTAACCCTGGAAGGAGCAGTCCCTCCCCAGTTAGCAAGGCCTCAGATGCCAGAGCATCAAGCATACAAGAAATAGGAAAAAAATGCCACCACTGTTATCTATCCTTTGATCCAAACAGAAAAATCTGTCTCACGCTGGATACCCACTCCGGGTGGACCATCCAGGAGCCACTCCAAGCTTTGATATGAAGCAGTTCTCAGGTTCCTACTCCTAGAGCGACCTGTAGACCTCTGACGTCATTCCTGTCTGGGAGAAATCTCTCTTCCTCTCCCTTCTCTGTGTCCTCAGAGGTCCTCCCTTTCCTACAAGATAATAAGCAGCACAATCCTTTCTTTAAGTTTTCATAAAAGATGGAAGAAATACTGGCTTCATGTGTGAAGCTTCTGCTTCTAGCTCTGCCACAAACCATTCCTGAAGCAAGGGGAAGGGTCACCAAACTTGGATCCTTTCTGGAAATGCCACCAGCACCCCAGGGTGCCCACATTGACAGATTCTATTCCTGGCTCTAGCAGTAGGCCTGGTGAGCAATGTCTTTGCCATCCTTCTCTGGTAAGGAATATGTGCTTTGTAGTCACATCCATCTGTGGAGAGAGAATAGCAATACCTCACTAGCAGGGCTGTTGTGTGGGTTAATTCCAACTACTAACGTGAAGAATGTAGCACTAGGCTTGGCTAAAAATCGGCTTCGTAAATATTAGCTGTCTTTCCTCTTTGGGGCCAAAAGTTCATATGACTCCTAACCTGCCCCCTCACCCAAGCTTCCTTAACCAAATTGCAGGTCAGAATCACTTTGGGATCCCTTTCTAAACCCTCACCTGAAACTCTTTTGTTGGTGAAATAGGACTTCTGTATTGAAGGCCATTCAAGTTATGAAGTTGTAATAATGTGGGCCTCAAAAAATATATACACCAATTTGGCACCAACATGTATCCAAGTGTTCATTGCCCCTTTATTCCACAAATACCAGGTGTTACCAGCTTTTGTCTTTTTTTTTTTTTTTTTTTGTGACAATCTGATCTGCTTGTTTTTGCCAGACCTTTCCCATTGGAAGAATCGTGTCAGATGGTCATTAAACTTACGGATTCACAAGGTCACCCCTTAGACTTTCCAGATTTAAAACAAAACAAAACAAAACAGTATGACTAGTTGAATTTGAACTTCAGATAAACAAAATTATATACACTAAAACATTCAGATTTACCTAGATATGCTGTGTTTTATCTTTCTATGCTTCCCATGGAAGACTCTGTATTAAACCAAGGTGCTCTACACAGTAGCCCCCGCTGAGCTGCCAGCAGATGCCAGCATCAGTCATCCATGTCAGTGAGCTTTTTTGGAAGTCCCAGGATGCATTTGTCTGTATTCAGATGATTGCAGTCCCTGGTGATAGATACCACATTGAGCAGAAATCATCCAGCGGAGCCTAGTGAATACACAAAATCCTGAGAGATAATAAATGGCTATTGTTTGGGACGTTTTGTTAAGTAGAAATGAATATCCAAAACATGTGGATTTGGTGAACTTTCCCTCTTTTTCTCTAATCTATTATACTGGAATTTGTAGAGATTCTGTTAGCCTTAAAGCCTTGGTAGGACTTTGTTATAAATTTTGCCATAATCTGCATATGAGTTTATGTGTGGGTATTGAATTATGAACATTTCCTTAATTCCTTCTTGAAGTGATTTTTCAAGGGAAAATTTCACAATATATGATTTTCAACCCGCTCTTGAAATTTAGAATCTAATTCAAATCTCCCTCCATAAAAGGAGCTTCCACTGCAATTACTCATTTTAAGGAATTCAGAGGCTGTTACTACATGCTACTCCCAAGCCATATGGAAAATCATATCTTCAGCAGGTTGCTTGATGAATATGCTATTGAGACAAGGGATATCTACCACTTGTGAACTGTTTTTCAAAGAAGGTGTCCTGAGATACTTTCTCCTGCTACAGGGATAGCCCTTGGCAAGGAGATTACTTTCCTTGGGTACACATAGTCAGGGCTCCTCAGGAGACAGCACGTGGTTAACTGTTCATTGCACTCCTTGACCTTTGTGACTGTCCCAATGCAGCACTGCTGGATGGACTAATCTGTCCAGTTCTGGGGTTCATTCATAGAAAGCCCATGTGACAGTAAATCTAAGTCATATTGTCCAATATCACTTTTATGAGGAATAAGGTCAATGTATTATGCTTATTAGTTTTTTGTGATTTTTTTTTTTAGTTGGTTTAGAGTTCAGACTAAGAGCAGGAAGGTATTTTGGGGGCTTCTTAAACACGAAAGCATTGTAAAGCAAGACCGTAGAAAGAGTTGAGGAGCCAGTGAGGCACAGAAAGGGGAGTAGAGCTGTAGGCCTGTTGTAAGACCCATCCCTGAGGACAGAGCAGAATGATTGCCCAGAAGGGCAGCTTACTATTTAGAGTTTTGAAGGGAGAGGACCTGGGTTGAACAACCCATTTCTCCTTTCAGATTTACCAATCAGTTAAGTCATTCCTGTGATAGAGAAGGAGTGAGTGAGTGTATAGAGAGGCTACATGTTTGTTTGTTTGTTTTTCATGGATGTCTCTTCACATGGAAAAAGTATCAAAAATGTAAGATAAAAATTTTCCAGGGTAACCCAATGTATTATTGAATTGACTAGATGTCTGCCTACTAAATGATTATATTATTATAGGCCTGCTTCCATGAAATAAATGTGAGATTGCTTAAATGACATTTTATGGTATTTTAGATCATTTTAATCATAAATATGATTATAGATAGTCTCTAGTTTTCCGCCACAGATGACTAACCACTTAGCATGATGTGTGAGTTTTACAAGTTCACTCTCAGAGGGCTAGTTCATCACCAAGAGCCCTGGGGTACCTCCTGGGTCTCTGGATACTGGTGATACTCCTCTACTGTCACTTTTAAACAAATAAAATTTTTTTTTTTTTTTTTTTTTGAAGCTGAGTCTCGCTCTGTTGCCCAGCTGGGGAGTGCAGTGGGCCGGGATCCAGGGCTCACTGCAGAGCTCCGCCTTCCGGGGGTCACGCGCATTTCCTGCCTTCCAGCCTCCGAGTAGCTGGGGACTCAGGCGCCCGCCACCCCCGCCCGGCTAGATTTGTATTCTTAGTAGAGACGGGGTCTTCCACCGTGTTAGCCAGGATCGGTCTCGATCCTCTGAGTCTCGTGTCCGCCGCGTCTCCGGCCTGCCCAAAGTGCTGGATTTACAGGCGTGGCCACGCGGCCCCAGCCAAAAATAAAGAATTTTTTGGGGGGGGGACCACAGGACCTGCTTTTCTTCTACCAAACTGGGGCAGAGTTCCCCCAATTTGCGCTGGGTCCAGCTAGTCCTCTAGTGAGTATGCTTCGCAAGTGGTGGTCCTAAAGTGTGAAGGTTATTTTGCTTCAGCTATAGGCAAGAGGAACTATGCAAAGGCTTGTGGAGATATAGAGGACAGAGTCAATGCATCAGCGAGTTGCCATGGGAGAACCTTGAAGTTATTATGGGGCTTCTGGCATCTGTTATAATAGAGCAGAAGACCTAGAAGGAATATGGGCTATGAGAGCAAGGTCCGTAGCTTCAGGTGTCTGGGACTCAGCGGTGAGGGTGTTGTGGGCCCCCATGGTGGGGCTGAAGCTGCCCTGGGGATGAATGAGGGAGAGATACAGGCTCTTTCTCACCGCGCAGTGAGTGTTGTTGCGTATCGCCCAGGGTGTCCTGTAGCTACGCTTGTCCACATAAGGCAGAACGTGGCGAGGATGAGGACTGATAATGACTCTCTTGACCTGCAGCTTGTCCTCTGTAAAAGGGGATGAAGAATGCTCACTATTACGGGCCGGGCGCCGGGGCTCTACGGCCTGTAATCCCAGACTTTGGGGGAAGGCAAGCGGTAGTGAGGGATCACAAGGTCAGGAGATCGAGGATCCATCCTGGCTAACACGGGAGTGAAAGGCCCCGGTCCTACTAAAAATTTACAAAAAATTAGCCAGGCGTGGTGGCGGGTGCCTGTAGTCCCAGCTACTCGGGTGGAGGCTGAGGCGAGGAGAAGTGGTGTGAGATCCAGGAGGCAGGAGGCGTTGCAGGTGAGCTGAGATCGCGGCCACTGGCACTCCAGCCTGGGGCAAACAAATGCAAGACTCTGTCTCAAAAAAGGAAAAAAAAAAAAAAAAAAAAAGAATGCTCACATACAGGATTGCTGCAACCAGGATTGTAATAACACAAATGCAAGCCCATAGCCCTGTGGTTATTGCAGAATCAGGAATGCCTGTGTGAGTTGAGGTCACTTCTCATTCTTTTTCAATTTTGTTGTTAGAAGATAGATGAGGAAAGGAGAAGAAAAAGGTCCTAGTGAGAAACCCACTGATGACCCTTCTAATTGTTATGATCACTGCCCAATTGTATCAGTGTCATTGTTCACTAACCCAGTGCCTAGCATGGTGCCAGGCACATAATTACTCTAAGAAAGCACAGTGATTGCTGGATTCTTTCTCTCCTTGTGCAGCTCTTCATGTGGATGTCTGAGCTCCTATCAGGTGTCTGAAAGAGGCAGATTCTGAGGATTTGGGTCATGATGGCTGCCAAAGCTTCTACGCCTGACTTAAAGGGCAACAATCCTAGGAGACCACCAGCACTTACATCCCTGGTAGGACATGACACCTGCTTATGGTGAGTTCATAGATCTGAACAAAAGCATGTGGTGGAATAGCTCCTGTGAGGTTCACAAAATAGCCTAAAAGTAAAGAAGCTACTTTCATCTCATTACTGGGGAAGACAGCAGGGGGAATTTCCTTTCATCAGCAGCTGCATGCTTTGAAGTAGCCCTTGACACCCATCTAAGTGATGCCTGCTTTGAAAGCAATGAATTACCCACACTGAAGAAAGAACTTGATCTTAATATGCACTTGTAGTAAATACAAATTTTTTTCTGACTGTATAGGTCATTCACATGTATCTCCCAGTTGGGGGTTGAACTATGCAGTTGATTGGAAGGTGTTCCTAGCAGTTTGATTCATGTATTAATATTTCTCCTTGCAGTCTATCAGCTTTAGCCTCATTTTACATTTTTTTAAAGACTTTAAATCAGAAAAACAAAAATTGAGGGAATTCCACATGAATTTTAATATCAGCTTGTTAATTTCTAGAAAAAAATTTATGCTAGTATTTTGACTGGGATTCCATTGAAAGCATAGATCATTTTGGGGAGAACAGCCATCATAACAAAACTGAGTCATCCAACTCAAGAAAGGAAGAAAAGGCCTAGAGACAATCTACAGGTCAACTCTAGAAAGATCAATCTATAAAAGAATAGTTATAGTACTTCCAATTTTATATTTGTGGTTAGAATTGAATCAGTTGAATTGTGTTTTTCTTCCTCACGTGATGAATCATGAGTTCTTTGGTGGTGAGAGCGAGGGAGAGAGCATGTGGATACATCAGTGTATGTACATGCACACATGTATATGTTTATATCACTGAAGTTGTGATGAGTATCTATTGTTAGGAACACTTAAGGAGTGTTAATGTGGTCATGTCAGTCTCTTTCAATTCTTTGCACATTTTATGAACCAAATCAGAGTGATTATTCTTTGCTTTTTTTCCACCTTTCCTTGGCCAGCATGGTTACCATGGTGACTCATTGACCACTGTGGGATTTTGTGCAGACTGAGAGCATCCATGTATGATTCTCATCTGAATCACTCACACACAGTGGTCTGTCCACCAGACATAGTATTAGCCTTTGATCTTATATGCAGTTGTTCACTTCTAAAGGGCTTAGAAGAAACTTGCTTTGCTTCTCTGAGGTTACATTACATAACATAAGAGGACACTAAGTAACTTAAAAGAAAAAGAAATGGGTTGTTGATATTCTCCTTCCTCAAATTTTATCAGGAGGTTAGAAGAAATATTACTGGAATCATACAGCATGCACTCTCTTGTATCTGGCTCCCTTCAGTCAACATAATGTGTGTGAGATTAATGTGTATTGCTGTTTGTAGTTGTAGATTATTCATTCTCATTGCTGTAAAGTATTATATTGTTTGGATATTTCATAATATAGTTACCTGTTATAAAAACTTGGGTATTTTCCAGTTTTTGACTTATCATGAGTAATGATCATATGAACATTTTTGTTTGTATCAAATAGATGGACATATATTTTCATCTCTCTTGGGCGTATACCAAAAAATAGCATTCCTGAGTCATAGGGTATGTCCGTATGTGGCTCCGTAGATACCACCAAGCAGTTTTTACAGCGTCTTTTTTTTCAATCTATATTCCCACCAGCAGTGTGTGAGAGTTTCACTTAATCCATATCCTCACCAACACTTGATATTTTCCATCTTTTCCACTTTTGTTGTTCTGGTGAGGTTCTCCTCCTGGTTTTAATTGTAATTTCTCCAAAGTGTTAAGTCCCTTTTAATTCAAAGAAGGTCTATCCTTTTTTTCAGCCTTCTACCTTAGTCAGAGTTCTCCAACAAAACAGAACTACTCATAAATATATGTGTATATATACATGTATATGTGTGTGTATATGTGTATGTATACACACTCGTATATATGTATGTATATATGTGTATATATTTATATATACACACACACACACAGAGACATTGCAGAGATGTTACAGGTTCAGTTGTAGACCACTGCAATAAAGCAAATACCATAGTAAGCAAGTCACATGAATTTTATGGTTTCCCACTGCATATAAAAGTTACGTTTATACTACTATAGTCTATTAAATATGCAATAGCATTATGTCTATAAAAATAGTGTACTTACCTTAATTTAAAAATACTTTATTGCTAAAAACTGCTAACAATCATCTGAGCCTTCAGTGAATCATTATCTTTTTGTTGGTGGAGGGCCTTGACGCCGTTGATGGCTAACAGATCAGGGTGGTGGTTGCTGAAAGTTGGCATAGTTCTAATAATTTCTTAAGATAAGACAACGATGAAGTTTGCTGCATCCATTGACTCTTCCTTTCACAAAAGATTTTTCCGTAAGCATGTGATACTATTTGATAGCATTTTACCCAGAGTTGAAGTTATTTCAAAATTAAAGTCAATCTTCTCAAAACCCTGCTTTATCAAGTTTATGTAATATTCTAAACCTTTTGTTGTCATTTGAATGATGTTCACTGCATATTCACCAGAAGTAGATTCCATCTCAAGCAACCACTTTCTTTACTCATCCAGAAGAAAAAACTCCTTATCTGTTCAAATTTGATCATGAGATTGCAGCAATTCCATCACATCTTCAGGCTCCACTTTAATTCTAGATCTCTTGCTGTTTCCATCACATCTGCAGTTATTCTTCCTCTGAGGTCTTGAACCTCTCAGAGTCATCCATGAGGATTGGAATCAACTTCTTCCAAATTCTTTTTAATGTTGATATTTTGACCTCTTCCTCTGAATCACAATGTTCACAAAGTCATGTAAAATGATGAATTCTTTCTAGAAGATTTTTCCATTTACTTTGCCTGGGTCTACCAGAGGAATCACTGAGCAGTAGGCCTCAATAGTGGGCTTAAAGTATTCAGTAAACCATGCTATAAACAGGGGTGCTGTCATTTAGGCTTGTTGTTTTATTTCTAGAATGCAAGCAGAGTATATTTAGCATAATTTTTAAGGGCCCTAGGATATTCAGAACATTGGCTTCAATTTTAAGTCACCAGCTTTATTAGCCCCTAAAAAAAAGAGTCAGTCTGTCCTTGAAGCCTTGAAGCCAGGCATTGTTTTCTACCTTCTAGCTATGAAAGTTCTACATGGGCCAGGCGCGGTGGCTCAAGCCTGTAATCCCAGCACTTTGGGAGGCCGAGACGGGCGGATCACGAGGTCAGGAGATCGAGACCATCCTGGCTAACACGGTGAAACCCCGTCTCTATTAAGAAATACAAAAAAATTAGCCGGGCGAGGTGGCAGGCGCCTGTAGTCCCAGCTACTCGGGAGGCTGAGGCAGGAGAATGGTGTGAACCCGGGAGGCGGAGCTTGCAGTGAGCTGAGATCCGGCCACTGCACTCCAGCCTGGGTGACAGAGCGAGACTCCGTCTCAAAAAAAAAAAAAAAAAAAAAGAAAGTTCTACATGGCATCTTCTTCCACTATAAAACTGTTTTCTCTACATTGAAAATACTTTGTTTAGTATAGCAACCCTCATCAATTATTTTACCTATGTCTCTGGATAATTTGCTGTAGCTTCTACATGAGCACATGCTACTTCACCTTGCACTTTCATGTTGTGGAGATGGGTTCTTTCCTTAAACCTCAAGAACCAACCTTTGCTAGCTCCAACTTTTCTTCTGGCTACACTTTTCTTCTGCTGCTTCCTCATGTTTCTTAGCCTTCATAGAATTGAATAGAGTTAGAGCCTTGCTCTGGATTAGGCTTTGGCTTAAGGGAATGTTGTGGCCGATTTGATCTTCTATCCAGGTCACTAAAACTTTCTCCTTATCAGCAATAAGGCTGTTTTGCATTCTTTTCATTCATGTGTTCACTAGAGGAGAACTTTTAATCTCCTTGAAAAACATTTACTTTGTGTTCACAACCTGGCTGTTTGGTGCAAGAGGCCTAGCTTTTGGCCTGTCTCGACTTTTGACATGCCTTGCTCACTCAATGTAATCATTGCTAGCTTTCAATTTAAAGTGATAGACATGGGACTTGTCCTTTCACCTGAACATTCAAAGCCATTGTAGGGTTAATATAATAGCCTAATTGCAATATTGTTGTGTCTCAGGGAATAGGGAGGCCTGAGGACAGGGAGAGAGACCAAGAAACAGCCAGTCAGTGAAGCAGTCAGAGCACATACATGTATCAATTAAGTTAGTCATCTTAGATGGGTGTAGTTTGTAGTGCCTGCCCCAAAACAATTACAACAGTAACATCAAGGACCACTGTTCAAAGATCACCACAACAGCTATTACAATAATAATGAAAAAGTTTGAAATATTGTATTACCAAAATATGACAGAGACACAAAGTGAACACATGCTATTGGAAAAATGGTGCTAATAGACACACTTGATATAAGGTTGCCACAAAACTTCTGTTTGTAAAAGAACATGAAATATCTGTGAAGTGCAATAAAGCAAAGTACAGTAATATGCCTGTATGTGTATACACATACACACAAGCACACACACATATGTACACACACACACACACACACACACACATACACACAGAGGGTCCTTATTACGGAGTTACATTCCAGTAAACCTATCCTAAGTTGAAAATATCATAAGTCAAAAATGCACTTAATACACCTAACCTACTGAACATCACAGCTTAACCTAATTTGCCTTAAACACACTCAGAACCCCTACATTAGCCTACACCTGGGCAAAATCATTCAATACAAAGTCTATTTTATAATAAAATATTGAATATCTTGTGTAATTTATTGAATACTGTACAGAAAGTGAAAAACAGTTGTATGAGTACTCAAAGTACAGTTTCTACTGGATGCATATCACTTTTGTACCACCATAATGTTGAAAAATTGTAAGTTGAGCCATAGTGATAAAGATTTATTATAAGTAATTGGCTCATGTAATTATGAAGGCTGAGATTTGTCAACATCTGCAGTAGGCAAACTTGATTTCCAGGAGAGCCTATGGTATAGTTCCTATTCAAAACTGAAGGTCTGAGAATCAGGAGAGCAGGAGAGT